TTTTTTAGATCTTATTCGTGAGAGATAGCAAAACACCACTTGTTAGTCGCCCAGTGCCATTTGTTAATTCTCCAATATTCCTTGTAAACCTCATTGCCCATCAAACTTATTTGCACCAAGGGTAATTTCATCTTTTCTTCATCAAACTTATTTTCAGTTTAGTCTTAAGAGACTAAACTAAAATTTTATAATCTTTTAGGAGCCACCTGAAGATATCTTTCTTTCACGGTTCTTGAATGAAATTCTCCTTTTAATAAAGGCATTTATAACAAAGAAAAATTTAATGTTATTGACATTTTTATAAAGTATTTTATATTTTAAAATAACATTACATCATAGAAAATGTTTTATATTTTTAACTAGAGGGAGTGTATATCGTCTCTTTCATCCTAAATATATGACACTTTTAATTATCTAATCAAAATCAAAGAAATATATTTAAATAATTAAAATGGGATAAAAATTAAATAACTTTTTAAATTTATTCCTATTAAAAATCTAAAATCATGAATTTAAAAAGCAAGTCCTTGAAAATTGCAGGGAAAACATCAAGGAAGGATCACTAAAATGATTTAATATCAAACAAGAATTTAGATCAGATATTTGTTAAAACTTAAACTTTTACTTACAATTGTTAATATTTACTTGCTGCAAATTCTTATCTGATATTGAATAATTTCAGACGTCCTTTAATGATATTCTCCCAAAATTATAAGCAAGTGCCTTTTCCCTAGATAAAATCTAATTGATATTTATCTATCTTCTTATAAAAAGTGACTACTACATAGGATCATCAATTTGTTTTCTAAGGTGACTAATATTTCATGAGATTAATGTAGAAAACCAAGATTATTAATTATTAATTAATTAATATTAATATCAATAAAAAAGATCGTAAGCTTTGTATTATGTAAATAGCTAATATCACTTATTCAGATATTTGTTTTTAAAAGGAAGGATTTCGAATATCTAATAGTAATATTTGAATAATTATACGTTATAAATTAAGTATTTATGCTTCTCATTATTTGTAAAAGCTTGGGTGACTTACATTGAGTGGATTGACAGAGATTATGATAAATCTTATGGCTCCAAGGTACTTGAAGAGCTACTACCTAAAAAATACTTACCAAGAGGATCTCGATCTCTGTTTTTCCCCCCTAAATTTTGTCCAGAAAGGTTCTCAAACTTTTATGTCAAAACAAAATTTGTGTGGAAATGGGGCATTGAAAATGACATTTTTCATGGGAATATTATTTGCGATTTGTCAACACTGCGATGATATCCTAATTGATTTCATGCTAGCTAAAAAAATATTTTTACTTAAAAAAAACAAAAAATAGCCCTTCTTTTAAAATTTTATCCAAATTTAACTTATTACAGCTTAATTTTTAATTTAAAATGTTAGTATCTAAGTTTTAAGAAATAACTTTAATGCATAGAATTTTATTTTTTAAAATATAAAAATCAATATTTTAAATGATTATTGCTATTTTTCATGAAATATTAATTATTTAAGAAAATATATTATAAAATAGGGTGGATAGAGTATTTTTATTAAGTCTCGCATCTAATACCTTTTTTTTGTGAAAAATTACAAACCTAAACTTTAAGGGATGGAATCGAAGTGTTGTAACGTGGTGTTGGGAAATGGCTCTGAATTGAAATGACCAAACATTGAAAAAGAAAAATGGCATGAAGAATCAGATACCCCAAGCAGCCAAAAGGTGAAAATCAGCACATTACAATAACTTTACCGAATGAATGAATTAAATAATGTAGCACTCTATGGTCTGAGGCAAAAACAAACAAAATCATAGTCGACTTAGGTAAACGAATTAGAATACCAACAAATTAAACCAAATTTAATAATTGTACAAGTCTTCGTCGGATCCAATTATATTTGAAGTGACGTGACAACCTTTTTTTTTTCTTCAAGAGTTAAACAATGTCTCCTATAATTTATTTTTCATTTACTTTTTAATAGTGATTTATTGAGTAAAAACCTTACTTTACCTTTTAAATAAAATAATTTACAGTTTAATCCCTCAAAAAATATAGTATTTTCAACTTAATCCACCGTACACGAGTTATTTCTCACTTTGATTACTCGCTCATGATTTCTTCTTTAATTTAATTAATTTAAAATACCTCTAAAAAAAAAAACCTTTAGTATGAGTAGAGATACCTTCAATATGAATTTTTTTTCCCTCCTATAAATTGACATTATTAATAGTGATTTCATTTATAAGGGATCACATTGAAAAAGTTCCGTATGTCAGGGGAAAGATAGAAATTTGGGGGATTTTTTTTTTTGGCTTAATGGGGGGAAAAATTTAATGATGAAGCAGACGAATAAAACGCTTTGTCCATGAGGGTTTGATTGATAGATAATATCTGATGCTCGTGATCATAAGATTTGATGCTTATCGATATTCCATGTTCACCGTCCCAAAGTCTATACTAGATTTAGTCGGTAATTTCAATTTTTTTATCAAAAAAATTCAAAATAATTATATTATTAATTTAAAACAATGCTCACGGGCAATCATTAAAAAATTGCATCGAGCATAATGTTGAATAGTCAATCAGTTTGAATTTTGGCTCAATTGGCATAAAGAAAAATTATTTGAAGGTCGAGCTGCTTTGCGCGGCGATTGGGTTGGGAACCAAATTTCACTTTTAAAAATTGAACTGTTAAAAAAATATCAATTTTTCTTTTTTATTTTTTAATATTTTTTTAAAAAATATTAATTTTTTAATCATTTAATATTATATTGTATCATGTGACTTGTTAGGTCATGATAAATTTAAAATATTTGATTTTATTTTTAAATTAAGTAACAATTTCATATTTAGATTACACATATTTAATTTTTAATTTAATTATTATGTTATTGGTTCAATCATTGATATAATCTAGTTGGACCATACGAATTATGAATAACTAGCTTTTTCGATTTAATATGAGTCTGATTGTAAAAACATTGCAAATGGGCAATGGTTGAGGAAGGGGGTCAAAAGGGGCTGTAGCCCCCAATTTTTAATTTTTTTTTATATTATATAGGTGTTACATACTTTTAACTTTTTAAAATTTATGAAAATTTTATAATACATATATTTTTTAATTTTAACCTCTTTTATTCTTAAATACTGACTCCATTTCTAATCATGAGTATTCATAATTTACTTGTCTATATTAAATTTAATTGGTTTATTTTATTTCTAAAATTTTAAAAATACTAGTATACTCCTTCTCACAAACTTTAATTTTTTTTTTGACTGATTTGATGTTTTATGATATAAGATGTTTGGAAAAATAAAATTTATTCATGAAACTTATTTTAGAATTATCCTTTATTATCTTATCTTTAAATATTTCTTATTTTCACTTTGCTATGAGTGACATGTTTAGAAATTTATATTTTTGTTTGGAGAAGTTAAAATTCTAAAATGTATTTACTACTTTTATTTCATATTATAAGATATTTTTTAAAGTGTCATGATAAAAATATAAAATATTTTATGTATTTTAACGTGTAATTAATTAATTTTTTTTAAAAATATTCTTAAATAGGGGTAAGTTTAACAAGATTTTCTAAATATAATATATTAAATAGTCATAAATATGAAAATAAATTGTAATTGTAAATGTCACTAAGCAACTTTTTAAAAATGCAAATTAATTGACTCATAAATCACAAAGTCATGTGTTCAAATTATATTGCGGACATGAAGATCTCATTGGTGAATATCTTTATAACTGCTCTTTGAGCTTAAAAATATATTCTAACCTCAATGAGCTCCCGATGTTAAACTCACCTAAATCTTTTGTTATAAAAAAAGAAATACAAATTAATTAAAAACAGCTTATAATATTGAACAAATGAGTTCTTCAAAATTTTATTAAAAAAAAATTCAACTTATAAAATGGTAGAGGGGAAACACGATCTAAAATTGAAACAAGTTTTAATTATATAATTAAGAATAAAAATTTAAAATATTGAAATAAAATATGAAAAATGTAAAAGCCACCACCACTTTACTCATCTTTCACTAATGAATAACGAATCTTGATCTAGAATATGAACATCCACACGCAATAAAGCAAGACCTAAGCTAGCAGAGGAAAGAACCAGTTGGGAATTAAAGCAAATTATGGAGCGATTCAGAATAAATAAATAAATAAAAGGTAATTTATGAGGCGAATTAATTCTGTTTTCAACCTGATAAGATATAAATTATTCCGCAAAAAATATTCGAGGAAGCGGAGTACTGAACCACCAAAAAAAAAAAAAAAACACAATTAATGAGGTTAAGCAAAATTTATACCCTTCATATGACACTCGAGAGAGAGAGAGAGAGTGCGTGGGGATGATCACAAGAACCATAACATACATACATACATATATATATATGTATGTATATACATACATATAAAGAAAAAGCAGAATCACACACTTCATGGGTCACCTAATTGATATATATTAAAAAACTTAAAACAGTTAAATGTGAGAGTTCATAAAACGACTATCGGAATTAATTAGTTATATCATGACATACTAGGTTCGAATCTAAATGATATTTTTAAGAAAATTATTTTTCAATATTTCACTCTTTAAATATTTTTTTTCACTATCGCTTATTAATGAATGATATTTAATAGATTCGAATCTATATCTAATTAATTTTATTAGTATTTATTATTTACAAGTTAAATTTAAATTTACAAGTTTAAAGAAAAGCGTCTTATAAAATAAGGTGGAGGGAGTAATTTATTAAGTTTAACTTATCAACGGATTAATCATTTAATCTTTTTTTGGTAAAATAATCATTTAATTTTTATTGGCTTAATTTATTTTATATATTTTTTAGATAAATACACTTAAGATTACACATCAAATATATAACCGAAGAAAAGTAACGGAAAAACGTAGAAGAGCGCACCGAAGGGAAAGCGAAACGAAGCAAGACATCTTCATTTTTTCCTTTGCCCTATTTGGCTGGTTCCGTTCCACCTCAACAAATTCTCTCTCTCTCTCTCTCTCTCTCTCTCGTTCTTTGAGCTTCACCTTCCCAATCTACGCTGTAATCTCTGCCTCTCTCTCCTGCACCAGATTGCACTCAGGTATGTTCTCCCCCCACCCTCGTTCTCTCTCTTCAATTCTGCTTCTGCGTCCTCTACTTCTCTGTCGGTGTCCTCGCCTCTTCCACTTTTGTTATCGTTTTTGCTTTTTTCTTTTTCATGTATTTTTGCCAGAGTCTCATGGTGCTGGAAGTCTCTCTTTTGTTTGTGATCCGTGCACTTTGTATCGGCATTGTTCGGTTCAATGCGGTTTCCGGTTTCGGCAGGTGGTTTGGATGCTTTAATTTGTGACGATTCCATTTTCTTCTTGAAGTTTCGCACTTCATGTATCCACTGCTTTTTGTTTCTTCTATCTCAGCATCTTTTCTTCGTTCCTCTCGTACCTCTGAGGAAAAATTAAGAGCTTGTTTGGTTAGTTCTTATTAAACAACTACTGCAACCTATTTGTGATTGGTGCAAACACGGTGGTGTGAATCGGATTCGCTACAGTTTTAAGCCTGAATGGAACACAACTGTCGAATTTATCATTCTGTTCTGTTTTTGCCTTTTTTTTTTTGTCGTTTGAATGGTTTTGTTTATTCCATCTTCTCAATTCTATTTATTGTTTTCTCAAGATTTACGGGGGAAAAGCAACCAAATGAGCTGGATAATCAGTTCTACAAAATTTGCTTTAATTAGTATGAACAAGTAGTCTATTATGTGAAGCAGTTCTTGCGCTATTTTGTAGTTCTTGCGGACTAAATACCATATGTTGCAGGGGTAGCTGGCGGCGTTCTATTAACTTCATTGGCTTCGGAGGGTTTTCATCGTTTTCTTACCTTCGGGAAGATCAAATGTATTAATTTATTCCCCAGAGATTCTTGCATCTACGGATCGTAGTTCGTGCCGAGAATGTATACCTCTGAACTAAATACGCTGTTTTTTGGGCCAGATCTCTAATAAATGCGCTTGCTTTTCTGAACTTTGACTTCTTAATTCATCCTGTGTAAATTTGTAGTTGTCTGGAGGCTGGAGCAGTATGTGCAGACTGAGTCTGCTGTGAGTTCGCCTCCCCGTTTCGACGGCCAGGATCAACTATAGTCCTTGTCTGCTAGACTAGAATGTCAGGTATGCCTTGACATGCTGTTCAAGGGTCTTGATAGGCCCGATTTGTTGCTGCAAATAACCAAGCTAATGTTAACTTTTTTGTTGTTTGGGTCAACGAAGCTAATATCTGCTTTTTCTTAATGTGCCGTGGAAGGCCTTGAAGGGATTTGTATTCATGATGAAATTAGAGAGAGGAGGTACGATTTTGAGTGCTCTGAAGATGAAAGGCGGCGGTCCAAAATTGGAACACTAAAAAAGAAAGCAATAAATGCTTCATCTAAGTTCACTCATTCTCTTAAGAAAAGAGGCAAAAGAAAAATCGACTATAGGGTTCCAGCTGTTTCCATTGAGGATGTGAGAGATGCGCAAGAGGAGACGGCTGTCTTAGAATTGCGTCAAAAACTGATCGAGAGAGGATCATTACCTACGAGGCATGATGACTATCATACATTGTTAAGGTTTGTTCCTCACTTATTCCAAGTATTCTGGTAAACAGGCAAATGTTTCCCAACCTTTTTCCCTCCTTGTTTAAGGGCGCTTCCCCCCCCCCCCCCTTTTTTTCTTCTTCTTCTTTGGGGGGGGGGGTGAATAAGGGCTGCATTTTTAATGTCAAGTTTGTTGTTATTTATAAGAACTGTTCGTTTTTAACTCTCACTGGGTCACGGACCTAGTGTATAATTGCTGTTCTCGCAACAACAATGGGCGACAATTTCTAACCTTTTTTTCCTTTTGGTTCTTTTCCCTTGATTTAAGCATTTTAAACATCACAGAAATGTTCCTTTACTCTTGCTCACTCACCAACCCTCTTTCTGTGTTTTCCATGTAGATTTCTGAAGGCTAGGGATTTTAACATGGAGAAGACCATCCAGATGTGGGAAGAAATGCTTACGTGGAAAAAAGAATATGGAACAGATTCCATCCTTGAGGCAAGAATTGTAATTTATGCAGCATTATCTGAAGGAAGAGACCATAGGATGTTTCAATGTAACAGAAGAAAGATATATATCTTCTCCCTTTGTTTTATTTGACCAAGCTTGCGGTTGAAATATACATTGAATTCACTGTTTTTTTATTTGTGGTGGGATTCAACTGGAAAATTACAGTTCTGTATAGTTTGTATTATAGCATCAACATGCTTTCTAAAATACGCTTAGATTCAGTTTGTATTTGACTCTAATGCCATAGTGATTTTTTGAAGGATTTTGAATTTGAAGAGATTGAAGAAGTATTGCAGTATTATCCCCAAGGTTATCATGGAGTTGATAAGGAAGGTAGACCGGTTTACATTGAGAGACTTGGGAAAGCTCATCCCAGCCGCCTCATGCACATAACAACAATTGATCGATATGTGAAATATCATGTCCAAGAGTTTGAGAGGGCTCTGCAGGAGAAATTTCCTGCGTGTTCCATTGCAGCAAAGAGACAGATTTGTTCGACAACAACAATATTGGATGTACAGGGCTTGGTATGTTGCACTGAACAAAACTTTGTCAAATTTATATGTTGCAGGAATGAAATTTTATGTATTTCTATTATTTTTTGTTCATTCTGTGCTTTATAATTCATAGTGCATTGAACTACTTTATAATTTTGTGATGCAGGGAATGAAAAACTTCTCACGTACTGCTGCTAATCTTGTGGCCACTTTGTCAAAAATAGATAACAGTTACTATCCCGAGGTTTCTGTCTCACAACTTTTCAAATAAGTTGGTTTTTGATGCTTTGCATCCTGTTTATATAAACTTTTTTCCCTAAATATGTGTAGACTTTACATCGGATGTATATTGTCAATGCTGGCACCGGCTTCAAAAAGATGCTTTGGCCTGCTGCTCAAAAGTTTCTTGATGCCAAAACTTTGGCAAAGATACAGGTGAAAAATTAAAAACATCACTATCAGCTGTGTTTCAGGCCTTTTTCCTGTAGTTCTATTGTAATCTTGTCCATTTCACAAATTTACAGGTTCTTGAACCCAAGTCTTTATATAAACTACTTGAGGTCATTGACTCTAGGTATGCATGTGTGCCTTCATCATAGTATGTTGTAATTTCAATTTTCAATTTATATTATTGAATAATTACTGTTTTGTAAATGCTTTTTTTTTTTTTTTTCAGTCAACTACCAGACTTTTTGGGAGGATCATGTACGTGTCCTGGAGAAGGTGCATGTCTGAGATCTAACAAGGGTCCATGGAATGATCCTGATATCATGAAGGTGCTCTTTTCTTGATATATTATATATGCTACTCCTATACGGTATACTAGAGTTGAAACTGGAGTATACTAGTATACAATATATTTTAGGCTTAATTATTTTGTCGAACTATTACTTGGTAATAAACATTGATATTCTGATTCTAGCTCGTAAATAATTCTGAGGGAACATTTGTGAGGCAAATCACGAGAGTATCCAGTGACCACCAGCACTATGGCCCTCAGATTCAGATACGCCCACTGAAGGTCTGTCTCAGCTGTCTTGACAGAAGAATATTAGGATGTTAGTGTTTTTTTCTAGTTATTTGGTTTACATTTCTGCCTTTCCTAATCTCCCAGGGAAGATTCAGTGATACATCGACAGCTGAATCGGGTTCTGATATTGATGATCCCTGTTCTCCCTTGGGACAGAGGAGTTCTACTTATTCTCGTTTAGACCCAGTTCACGAAGAAGTGAGTTTTGATGTCACTAGATGAGGTTCATATGATGATCCTGTCTCTACATATTGAGTGCATTTCTCATGTTTATACTGATGGAAAAGTCTGTCTCTCCTGTAGGGCAGGGTGTTAGAATCCAATGCCTACTATAGTTTTGATGATAGCATTCCTGCTACTGAGAAAGCGGTCAAGAGTGATAACTGTCACTGTACTGAGGATCAGCCTCTTCAAATCCCCATGAGGAATCTTGCTTGCAGGGGAAATTCAGGTGTTGTTTACGTAAAATTTTTGTCCAGTTTTATTTTCTTTAACCATATGCATAGTAGAATATACATGGTGAATATGGCTTATTTTTAGCTTTTAGTTGGAAAAGTTGGAATTCAGTTTATCTATTAGTATAGTTTGGCTTAGTACTACACATTGCGTCTTACAATATCACTGGCATGTATTTAGCATTGTCCTTGTTTTTGGAACTTACACAGCATCACATACCATTTCAGGCACTTTACTCAGGCATTGGTTCAACATGTTTAAGGAGAAAATAGAGAGAAGGGATTTCTTTGATGTGGCAAGAGTTATGTTATCTTTCCTGGATAAGCTTGTTGCATACTTCTGTGGTCTAAAATTTGAAGTTTGGAGATCTCAGGGCAATGTTTCCCCATCCAATCCTGTGGAACAAAACACAGGTAACCAATCACCAGCAGTTGGAGCAGCCAATGAAAGGGATCATACTTTTCCTCGTGAACAGTATGAACAGCGTCTTCAGAAACTAGAAAGGACTTTTGAGGAACTTAGCAGCAAGCCTACTGATATGCCTCTGGAGAAGGAGGAAATGCTAATGGAATCTTTAGATAGGATTAAGTCTGTCGAGTTTGACCTTGAAAAGACGAAGAGGGTATGCCTCTAATTTCTTCAGTCGTCTGTAACTTCTCATTGTTCTGCTGGCAATGATATTGATATCTTCAACATATGAATGTATCTTTGCTGTTAACACAGGTACTACATGCTACAGTAATGAAGCAGCTTGAGATTTGTGAGTTGCTGGATAACATGCAGGAAGCAAAGAGTCGAGTAAGTTGCTTCTAGCATGAAATTCAATGCAGGCCAGTATGAAATCCTTTTCAATGATCAAATGAAATTATGCTCTTCTACGAAAGAGTTGATAGAAATGAACTTTTTCATCAGAGAGGAAGGGGCTATCAATCTCTCTCTCTCTCTCTCTCTCTCACACACACACACACACACACACACACAGACATCAGAGAGACTACAGTAGGAGTGAAGAATGAATTGTTTCATTGGTCAACATTGACTTGTTAGCTGGTCCAAAAATAAAATATGATTTGGTTTTCTTAAAAGATTTATCAAAATTGTTGAGGTTGTCATGGAAAAGTCAACGATGTAGTTTGAGAGTTCATTCAGACTGTAGTTCTCTATTTTTTTTTTAATTTTCCAATTTTACTTCATTATTCAATATGTCCTTCGAGGTTAATAATCTTTTTGTCAACCAAAGAGTGTTTACTTAATCATAGTCATCTAATTAGGTTCATTAATAAATAACTAACGAGCCTAATGCATGGACGATAGAAAAGAAGGAAACATTTTTTGGAGTATTGAAGTAAGTTCAACCATTGGAGGACCAGATTGTTGCATGTGCACCTCTTTCAAATTTCCAGCGACAAAATTTGCGCCCATTTTCTTCCCCACCTTTTTTTTGTTTCTCTTTTTGCATGAAAGAGCTGAGTTAATTTAAAATCTTAATGCAGCAAAGAAGATTGTTCTGTTGAATTTTCATCAAGATTGCAAAGAGGAGACCCTGACATCTCTGAGAGGATAGTTTCATTTCATAGAAAATACACTAGAGTTGTTACAAACTCACAACACGAACGAGGTTGAGGCAAAGTGACGGAGCACGTCATTCGAGCACATTACGGAAGAGGCAGCCCCTTTGTTGAGTACGCAAAATGATTCATTTCCCTCAAAATCCTTTTCATCTCACAGCTGATAGTTGAGAATAGAAAGCGAATACAAAAAAAAAAAAGGTTATAGCTGATAAATTTTCTTCCTTGGAGTATAATTTTGATCATGAGACTGTTTTAAGAATAATAAATTTTAGTTACACTGACCCAAAAAGAGGAGGAAGGTAAAAAAAGGGTGTGTTGGGGTGGGGGGGTAATGTTTAGACATCTCGGTGGCCCCATTAGCGGGTGGGGACATCAGCGTGTACAAAAATGTTGAAGGTATGTGTATTAATCACTCTGAGGAAACTGTTTGTCTTAAATATTGGATGCATTGTTGCATTGTTGTAGTGTCATTGTCGAATATGACTCAACGTCAACGCATTTGGAAAATGTTGAGTGGCATTTGTCGAGTGTAATAACTTACATAGTATTTGGACCACCATAAATACTCTTGAGAAATAAAATAAAATAATGTATGTATTGTAGATACATAAATGGGTTTGTATATGTACGTGTTTATAATTGTTCATTCGTAGATAATTATTACATAATGCATAATGTCGAGATTCACTTGATTGTTTTTTGGTTCCTTGATTTTAAATAATCATCGATGTTAATGAAAGTATAAAATTTTAGCGAGTTTTCAAATTATAAATGGTATAGATCATTTTTCAAACGGTGCACTATGCTGGGACTGGGATATGCATAATTTTTATATGTTGCATCACGATGATGTTGACATGAAAGAGTTGGCAAAAAGTATTGTCCTTGTTTATTGTCGCTCTTAAACGCCACCACTTAACATGTGTGACACATCATATATTTATTTAGGCAATGATCAATCAATTTTATATTCTCATTTTTTGAGACCGAAATTGTGGGCTATAACACATATTAGGGTTCTATTCATATGACTGGACTATCCAAGTTCACCAATCATGAGGTGTGACCCAACCTAAAATCACAGGACTCATTCTCAGACCACCGCTTTCCCCATTCTTGAATCCCTAGGGTGTCTCATACCTTAGGCTATTCTCCTCATTGAACTAGTAGAGATAGTTAGATTTTAGTTCCTTAACAAACTATGGGACAGTTCGTCGACAAACTGTGGAACAAGGCTGCACCCTCATGCACCGGAAGGCATCCTAAATACCATATGGATTTTTCTCTATTTTCAATCCCTAGGTGAACTCCAGCCATTGATCATGCTATAATCAATTACTCACTTGTTTTCACTTTTTCATTTTCATATACTTATTATTACAACAATCACATTGAGCTCATGATCATGCGCTATCTAAGTATGTATTCTCATCATTTTCTCAAAATTCATTTATCATTAACATACATCTATCTCACATAATCATCACATTCATTTTTCTAATGACATATGCATGTTCATATTAAAAAACGTCTTAATTAGGCATTTGCATTTCAAGTCACAATAACTTTATATACATTCAATTTTTTTCATATACTCATTGAAACTAACACATGCTTTTCACATTACAAATTAACCCATTCATGTAACATTTACAATTCACATTTAACAATCAATTAACATATAACTATTTAAAGTAGGATTTCTCCGATTACCTCAAATCTTAAAGAGGTTAAAGGTTTACCCCTCAACCTACTAGCTTCCAAGTTTGAATTTTCAATTTAATAGGTGACCAAGAGTTAAAACTACAATCAATCAAGTTAAATTTTATTAACATTACCAGTTCAAGCATTTAAACCCTTAATCTCCACTTTTAAATTACCCAACATTCACTCAACAAGAATTTGAGCCTATCCCTTAGATTTAATAATTATCTTTAATCTTCAATAACATTAATGAGCCATTAAATCCCCATTAATGGCATCATAATCTTCCGACCACCCATAATAAATAAGATTTTTAGATATTAATGGTGCCCAACAATTCAAGACACCAAAACTCATTATATCTAGGTTTAGATACTCTAATCTACTTTCATTAACTCCATTTGAGTTAATAAATTCAGACCCATAACCTATATGGATCGAAATTCTACTTTCACTATCAACCCTTAATCATAAACTCATAAATGTGAAAGAAATAGAGAGATTAATGAGTGTGATACTTACCTTGGGTGTTTATAGCCTTCAAAATACTCTCAATATCATCCATTAGCAAACCCTAGCAGAGCTTGGCATGCCTCTTCTGATTTTTCTTTTCTTTCTCTCTATTTCTGTATCATTTTCACAACTGATATCTGCAGAAAATAGCCATGTGTCATGGCAGATGCATAATGTGTCGTGGCGCATGGCACAGAGAGGTCCTCTCTTGCATCATAAGTGTATGTGCGCCATGATAGACGATCTTCACGCCGCAGCGTGTGGCACAACAACATCAACTCTTTCTTTTCTTCTTCTTTTGATGCTTGGGTGGCTCACTTTGATACTGAACCCATAATTAGGGCTTATCAAATATGATTATTAGACCTCTTTGACCACACACCACTTTAACTTACTTAATTATCCTAATTAAGTTTAGTTAATTAGGAGATTAAAATTGGGATGTTACAACTTAGGCCTTCACTTCCTCATTTCTTAGTTGTGTAAAAGTCAAGAAAAAGTTCAATGTCAGGGGCTCATATACTTTAGTGAGTCATTAGAAATTATGTAGTGTTTATACCCATATCTTTTTCTAGTAATTTGTGTTTCCTAACATTAATTCTAATCCACATTGTAGAAAAATCCCCTATCAATTCTTTGCAGTGCATCTCCCATCCCACAAAACAAAATTATCACTTGCAAAGATTCCAATTTGAATTAATAAAGTAATTTCTTTGCTTTGGCCAAACAGAAAAATAACGCAATCAATTCATATTAAATTAAAATATGCTTGCATAGACTAGTTAAAAAATAGTTAGAAATCTCACCCAACTTATTATGAGCAGCTTTTGACTAAGGGAAAATTTTTGTTTTCTTAGACATCTTCAGCACTTTGCCAAGTTTCTTTGTATCAATAGACAAAATATCATCTTAACCCATGCTTGACTACTTTTTATAAGTTATATCAACATTTCTTGCATTTTGGATTGACTTTGGCCTTGATTAGCATATATCAAGAAGTTCTATAGGAATTGATGGAATGCACTATAAGAGGCCTATAAGGAACAGACACATAGAAGGAGAAAACTTAGAGGAAAAAACCACAGTAGGGAATGAACTCACGAATGAATGAAGAACCTAGAAATAGAAGGAATAGGAAAAATGGGAGGATAGCAATATGGTAGCAAACCAAAAAAAAGGATGAAAGAAATTTTGAGGCAGTGATATACAAACTTTGATACGAACAACAAGTAATGGGTGTCAATGAAATCAATGAACTAAAGCTTAAATGGTCAAATCAAACCAAGCATTTAGAAATCAAAACCAAACCTAATCAACTAACTAATACATTGAATAAGGAAAATGCATCAACAAACAGAGGGGAGCAACTGAACATTTTCAATTGAAGAAGCAAATCATAACCACAAAAAGCTTCATAGACAGAATCAGTGGGATTCATCCTTTTTATTTTGCAATGGTGGTGTGATCTTTGTCAGAGAAGAACTTGGAGGTTTTGGTTTTGAAAGTGAGGGAGCATTGACTTATAGGATTGAGGAAGGAAGAGCGGCGATTGGGGATGTGAGGAAGAGGACGAGTGAGTCATGATCAATGTCGTGAGTAAAGAAAGATAGTTTGGTCTTTGTTCATCTCATTTTATGCCAACGAAGGACCTTATATTAAAAAAGTTTCTAGGTTCCTCCTCATAATTAAATTCGCGGTGAGGTTTCTTTTAGCAATTTTCCCTTTTGTTTATAAGATTGTGAATCTAATTTTATAAGTTAGTATAATTTTCTTAATTTTATGTTTCTTTTCACCCTTTTTCCTTATTTTCAGGTTTTCTTTTTGCAGTGTTCCTGGTGTTCATTTTTAAATTTTAAATCATCTTATATAATAATTATTTTTTTAATCTATAACTTTAAAATTTGTGAAATGAAAAATTGAAAACAAAATAGAATTAGGGTCAAATGGCAATTTAGCTCCAAAACTATAAGTTCAAGAGCTTCTAGGATCTTAAATTCATTTTTTGTATAATATTTTCTCTTAACTTTTGAAAACGATATAATGTAGTTTCTATTATTAATAAAAATTAATTTTAACTGTTAATTGATCTTAAAATAATAAAAAAACCAAGAATATTTTAGAAAAGGTCCAGAAAAATTACAATAAAAACTCAAAAATTACAAAAGACCCCAAAAAATACAGAAAATGGCCAATAAGTTCTTTTCTGTCATTTTATAATCAACTAGTGATTAAAGTTAATTTTTTATTAATGTTAAGACCTATATTACACTGTTTTTAAAAAGTTGTGGAGAAACATTGCACAATAAAAAAGCCTTGGGTCCAAGATGCTCTTTAATATATAGTTTAGAGGTTAAATTATTATTTATTGGAGAGTGTGGAATTAAGATGGATGGACAATGAATGAAATACATGTGATGGATGAGAGAAGTTTGTAACAATGACAGGAAATAAAAATATAGGACAGTATTCTCCTAGTTTTAATTTATAGAGTTGGATGAACGATGAGCATCCCATGTCCCATGTTGAGAATACAATTTGATTGTTTACCACAAATAAACTGTGAAACTGGAAACAAAATAGACACTTTGATAGTGCTCTCAGTCATTCAAAAACAAGTTGTCATTGGACCCATATGGGACTTATATGTCCTTTTTTTTTTAAAAAAATATTATACATATATATTAAAAAAATGAAAAGAAATGAGTCACCACCACAGCCAAGTAACTCCAGAGTATTCGTACCTACAGTGAGAAGGACAATTGTCAGTAAGAGAAAATTATTTTCAGATGTCCTATCCATCTTATGATTTTTTTTTTTTGGGGCTTTTCTGTAACTCTGCTTACTGGCCTTGCTTGAAATAATAAAGGGAAAATCACAAATAAAAATGCCTAGTTATTCTAAATAACTAATCAGGACCACAAAATTATGAAATTAAAATTTAGGGCTATTGTCTTTTTTTTTTGTGGTTGTAAGAATAATAATTTGGCTTGCAAACTTAATTTGACTAAATTGATTTTTTTTTTTACTCCTATACTTGCAAACTTGATTATATACTAAACAAGGGCATTTTAATCAAATTATTCTTTTTATTAATTTGAGGGTGTATGTGGATTTCAATTGGCAAAAATTGATTAACAAAACATTATAAACTTTGAACAATATTTTTTTTCATTGATTTTGATAATTGAAAATATTTGGATATTTTTTTAGAATCAATCATAAAGATGGGGAAAATGAAAATGTTCAAATGTTAAGAATTGATTTTCAAATGAAGGAAAAAAAAAAAAAGATTCTCCACATTTACAAGCCAAGTGGAGTTTTGTAAAATTAAGGATGTTTGGATAAGTTTTTATAAAATTATGATTTTGGTTTCAGAATTAATTTCAAATAAGAAT